CTTGGTCCAAAAAAGTTCGAGCCGTACCTCATGCAATGGAGCTTGATCTCTCTCCCCTTGCACTTGTGTAGCACAGACATCGCCCCTTCTAATAGCAAGTTGCCTTCCGTAATCGATCGTTATGCGGACGAGAAAACCTCCATAACCCAAGTTCAAGTCGAGGTTGAGATGGTGTCCAACTTTGCGTCGTGTCTCCCTGCATAGTGAAGCGATGGCATCCATGAGGTGCTCAAACAGTGGCAAGGACCCCGCAGTAACATTGCTGTACAATTTTGATCTTACACTCCTCTCTATAAAAAGAAAGCCTAGTTTGAAAAAATGTGACAGAACTTTCCCGCCAACCTAATATGTCATTGAAGTTTGCTACTGCTTGAAATGACGTGTTTTCATATTTCCTGTGCCGTCGCTGTGATTTTTTTACCTCAATCTTTGACCACCGATGATTTATGTCTAGCGTGGGGTGGAGACATTATTTTGGGGTTTCATGCCGTTTCGTCCCGTTTTTGCCTTACCATTAGTGTCGTACTACAGAGAGCTCCTGCTCCCGTTCCCTGCAGAGAACCAAATTATAGTGCCCACTGCTTCTAACATCAAAATCAGTCGCCGAAATCATTGATGTCGGTTTTTCCAGAGAGAAATTGCAAACCCCTGAGGTGACTAGCACGAGCACAACCATGCGCATCACGGAAGGAATAGCCGACAGCTCTAGTACACTCACCACCAAACAGTCCACCGCTACTACTACGTCAGTCCATGCTTTCTTAACTAATCACTTTCAAGATCAAGATCAATCACAAAAATCATTGATTCTGCTTTTCCAGAGAGAAATTGCAAACCCCTGAGGTGACTAGCACGAGCACAACCATGCGCATCACGGAAGGAATAGCCGACAGCTCTAGTACACTCACCACCAAAGAGTCTACAACTACTACTACGTTAGTCCATGCTTTAAATGATCAGTCTAATGGTAAAGGCAATGGGCACGATAAATGTCCTAGGCATGTAAGGTGGACACGCCGATCACCAAAGAATTCCTCGTCTTTGGGAAAAGCCTTACATTGATTGTTCACAACAAAAATGTCCCCCAGCAAGGCTCAACATACCGATAAGTACTTTCTCCAACAACGACTTGTCCACAAAATGCCGCACCAACCGGCAGTTGATCACCATCGGATCAACTGCTTTCACCCACATCCTGCGCCTGACTGACACTTATTCTCTACTCAGAGTCTCCTCTAAGGAGGTAAGTCAAATAAATGTTACTTTGGCATCGGGATTGATTGTTCACTTTTTTTGGCTTTTTCCACTTGATTCTTCCGCATAGCTTCGACAGCAGCTTTGTGAAATAGTCACCAGTACATTCCCGCTTCTATTAAACTACCCTGTTGATACTGTCATAGAAATTGATCATGCTTAAAATAACGTGTTTTCATATTTCCCATGCGGTCGCTGTGATTTTTTTCTTCACCTCCTCATTTTTGACCACCGGTGATTTACACTCTTTATCCCTATGACGGAGTAGGCGTGGCTTTTGAGCATGGCATAGGACGGGTTACTCGTGGGATACTTCAATTTGAAACAACTGCTATCTTGTTCTGTGTTAGATGTAGACATGATTACGACTGCTCCAAAATGACAATATCTCACGAAAACCTGGGCCGCCGCCATTTAAAATCAAGTACGCAGCCACGCCTACCCGATCTCAGGGATTTCGAGTATATGTCAGGCGTGGGCTGATGCACTTCCTAATTGGAGCGTTGTTGAGGGCCTTATTTCGGAAGTTGCATGCCGTTTCGTCCCTTGTCGTACTACAGAGAGCTCCTGCTCCTGTTTCCTGCAGAGAACCAAATTATAGTGCCCACTGCTTCTAACATCAAAATCAGTCGCCGAAATCATTGATGTCGGTTTTTCCAGAGAGAAATTGCAAACCCCTGAGGTGACTAGCACGAGCACCACCATGCGCATCACGGAAGGAATAGCCGACAGCTCTAGTACACTCACCACCAAAGAGTCTACCACCACTACTACTACGTGCGTCCATGGTTCAAACTACATTGTTTTAACAGTAATCATTGCCGAGCATTTTAGCACTACCACTACGTCCGCGCCTCACATTATCGATGGGCATAGCACTATCACATCATCGTCTTCCATCGAAGAAGCCATCGGAGTCGGAAGTCCGATTATGGGGTGAAAACTTTCAGATCTACTTCATTTAATGTTCGTCTTCATAGTTCATCACGATGACCTGCGCAATGACACATGTGCGCGACACATAGCCCGCAAACGTTGATGATCGCAGGGTTCCTGTCACGAATGCTCTTGTCAAAACAGTTTTTGTTTTTAGCAACATGAGCGAGAGTCTCTCCAGTTCGTATTCGCTGTTGTTCTCAAAGGCATTTGGCACGATAAATTCCTAAGGCAGCATTCAGACTTTGCGACGGCCGCGCTTTGGCCGCGCGTGCGAGGCGGTCGATGTGGTCCAAAGAATGCACATCGGTCGCGCGACCGAAGCGCTGCCGTTACGAAGTCGGAACGCTGCTAAGACGGCTTGCTTAAAGACACATAGTACGCTCACACACATTGAGGGTGTATGAGACTATCAGCCCCCCAGCTGTCGATGTGTCGTGGTCCCCCCGCCCAAACATGCCCAGGAATGGAGATACAGGACCGTGAAACACGCTAATTCCTCCATGCTCCGCCTTACACCTTTTTGCGGCGCAGATTCCCGTCCTTCATAACATCCGTCAGCGCGCGTGTCGCGTGCGGCTCCTTTGGCAAAACCCTTTCTTTTGCTTCTTTGCCAAGTCCTTTAATTGCGCTCTCAAATACGAGTAAAACGCAATTTCCTGATGCGGATAACATTGGAGGTGCTACAAAATAAGAACAGAAGATGATGACAAGGGCCAGAACTCAAGAGCAACTGCATCCGCAGAATCCATCAGAGGCCGCGCATTCCCAGAAAACATGAGAATAAAAACAATCCAAGCGTCCCACTCGTTTGTTCTAAGTATTTCTATGGCTTTGGCGCCGGATCGTAGAAATTTACAGGCCGAGTTTATCTAATTTGCCTTTCCTTGATTTTTTCATTTTTGTTTTGTTTACATTTACATCGTTGTGCTTCATTTCTAGCCTGTGTCATCTTCATCTCCTTGTACATGAAGCATGAGCAACACCTCAAATTTTATTCGCATCAGGAAATTGCGTTTTGCTTGTATCAAACTAACGAGTATGCCGTTTTTATTTTCATGTTTCGTGGAAATACGCGGCCTCCGAGGGATGTTGCAGAAGTGGCACAGTTGCTTTTAAGTTCTGACCCTCGTCATCATCTTCTGTTCTTATTTTGCAGCACCTCCAATGTTATCCGCATCAGGAAATTGCGTTTTACTTGTATTTGAAAGCGCAATTAAAGGACTTGGCAAAGTGCCAAGGAGCCGCACGCGACACGCGCTTACGACGGATGTTATGAAGGACGGGAATCTGCGCCGCAAAAAGGTGTAAGGCGGAGCATGGAGGAATTAGCGTGTTTCACGGTCCTGTATCTCCATTCCTGGGCATGTTTGGGCGGGGGACCACGACACATCGACAGCTGGGGGGCTGATAGTCTCATACACCCTCAATGTGTGTGAGCGTACCTATGTGTCTTTAATACGCCTGGCAGGACGGAATTCCACGACCTGAGCAGGCGCTGCGTACAGCCTTTTCCAAGGAAGGTGCCCTTGTAACGCCCTATCAGCTACAACTTACCGACCCGGATGCCCACCGCGCCCGCCCGCCCACAAATGTTATCCTGATGCTCGCATTGTCTCAGTGAGTTTCTAAGTAAAATATGAAGCGAAGGGATTGGTATGAAGCGGCCGCGGTGCTGCATGGATATATGAGTACATACGTGCAGCCGTACCTACCGTAGCGGTTATTGGCAAGATGCCTACGGGAAACTCGTCCGGATCGCTTTTTGAGTCATTGAGGACAAAGGCTTTTCTTCGCAGGTTTTTGACGGTTTCACTTTTCCTCACCCTTGCCGTGTAAGGGAGAATGGGTCAACTCGTAGCGTGCCACTTTCTCCACTCAAAAATGCTGAGCAATACCTGAGCAATACGTCTCCGAACTCCGCTCGCGCTATCGCACGGCCAGCCACACGCACAACCGCAACCGAGCACGCTACTTTTCTGCACCCTCTCATTTCTGATTATCCTCTACGGCTGAGCGCGGGTTTTACTGCTGGTTTTCGGTATCGACGTAAGAGCTGCAGACTTCAGATAGCACCGTTGGAATATGAATACGGTGCCCGGTATCACTACCCTTTTTGAGCGGAGAAAGTGGCACGCTGCTGCGGACCGCGCACATTGCCAGGGCCGTCCTAAAAAGGAGAGCGTAGTTTCGTCCTGAGGCATAAAACACGATAATTTCGTACTCGGTCTAAAATGTTAACAAGGGTGCTAACCAGTGGGGAAAATAAAAAGCGATGTGGAGCGGTCGCAAAAAAGCCTTTGTTCTACATGACTCAAAAGCAGTCTGGGACGAGTTTCCCGTAGGCACACTAGCAGTTATAGTAGGTACGGCTGCATGTATGGAATCATATATCCATGCAGCAGTACAGTCGCCCAATACCAGTCTCTTCGCTTCATATCTTTCGCAAATGAAACGATACAGCATCAGCATCGGTCGGACATTTGTGGGCGGGCGGGCGCGGTGGGTATCTGGGTCGGTATGGTGCAGCTTCGAGGGACCCTATAGAAGCACCTCCCTTGGAAAAGGTGTCACCCAGCACCTGTTCAGGGGTGTCGAATTCTGTCCTGCTAGGCATATCGATTCTACACAACTTGGGAACTATCGTGCCACTTGCCTTTAAAGACAATGCAAGCGACGAAAAAAAGAATAACTGCGCAAAACCTCTATCCATAGAGTGAGGTGACGAGCGACAGTGGATTTTTGCCTCCAGTTCATTCAAATTAGCATTTTATAGCTTTATTCGTTGCAGGTTGTCGGATTTCTTAAGAAGGATATTTATTCAGCAGAGCGTTGGTATGTCTCTTAAAGGCAAACCGTACATTAACCTTCGTGAATCCTGGTCCTTGTCACGTGAGGGAATTGGGCGTGCGCACAATGGCATGCCACTTTCTCCTGATGGAAGTGCACGAGAACGGGGCTGGAAAGCAGCGACACCCATTTACCGCCTTTGGGTCCTGCACTCCCTTCTCTGGTACGGACCACTTGAAGGTGTGGATACATTTGAAATAGGAAAAATCGAGAAACGTCAACAACTGAAAACATTTTATTGGAGGCATATACGAACTCCTCCTTCTAGTGACCAAATACCAGCGAAGAACTAACTTTGCCCTGCACTGGATCGAAAACAGCCGAAAACTGCTGGTTTTGTTATCTAAGTGAATTAAAGTGGTTGCACAAGAATGATATCTATCATTGCGATCCTGAAGAGATCCACACCGTGTAATAGGAGATCTTCTGTTACTTGGGGCTAATCTTTTGAGCTACTCTGAGAAAGGCCTTATTATGACCACGATCACCTTTCTCAGCGAATTAGAAGAGATAAGAGCGCCCACCGTTGTGCCCTTGACACACGAAAATGCCTCTCCTTTATGGCGGAACCACAGTGGAAATTTATGCTCTACTTTATCCCGCATATTCTCCTGGCTTGAGCCCATGTTTCTATCATATCTCTGGATTCTACGGCATCGCTGTGAAGGGAAACGGTTCCAACGTTTCGATCACATCAGGGACGTGACTGAGGAATACGGCCTGTTCGGCTTGGAGGGTGGAGACACTTGGCACTTTCGTCAGTTTCCTTTGCTAGCTCTTGCTAAATTGCACAGCGGGTAAAACCAGTAAAACCTTGTTAAGTGTAAACGAAATTCCTGCTATTGCCTAGCTTTACAGGAATTTACAGGTCTTCGCAGGAGCCATCGGCAGTGATCAGTGGGGACAGGGAAAATGCTCCCCCTCCCCAAGCCTAGCTGCGCCACCAGTAGATGGATTGTAAGCCGACAAATCTTGGGTTAGCATTCAAAAAGTTGAAAGGCTTGTGGGACACCCTTATAAAATAGGACTACAAGCGTATCCCAGTTTTCGTGGGAGTTTCCTCACTTGAAGGCGCAGTCCGCGATGAACAGTTTACAGGTAGTGGTGTCGAAATGTGGAAGAGAAATTGCGAATTGTCCGTGAAGAGAAAATGCCAAAGAGGACGTCGGAAACGCCTGCAATGGGCCTCTCCAGCCTCAAACAGTTGCTCAAAAGAAAGGCCAAAAGACCGCGTCTAGGACGAGACTAGTCGGCCTTGTTGGCCTTGGACTTGTTGCTTGTAATGGACCCTCGACCGACCGTGGAGCATCTGCTTCATGCTAATTATCCGGTAGCATCCCTTTTAGGCGGGAAGCGGACTTTGTAGGCGGAGCCTGGAGGCGGAGTCACTGCAATGAGGAGGTGTCACTGGAGCAACTTCGCGCCTTAACTCCTTCACCTTACAACTTTATGCCGCAAATCTGGCGCAAGGTTGCCCACTGCGGACCATACTACCTTACCACACGATCCTCTACATCATCCAATTAGGTAAATACGTGGAGCCATTCTTCAACCCGAGAGGCCTTTATCGCCCTAAAATTTTCGACATGACGAAAGTTGAAAATCAACCTTCTTTTCCAGTAATTGGTCAAATAGAGCATAAAGTCTGATTTGACAAGTCACGAGGTTTCGCACTGCTTTACCGTTCACATAATCATTTTCAGGTTCCTGCTGATAGGGGTGGCCGGTCTCCTCGTAATCCTCTTGGTTATTATTGCACCGCTAATGCTGAGAAGTGAAACGTTACACAGGAGCAGCATCGACCCTGAAGATTTCGGTCCTTCAGAGGTGTCAGTACAAGGACCATCAGGGAAATAAGTTATCTCGAAGTGTAAAAATCCAAAAAATGCCAATGTTGACTTCTTTCACAACCTAGCAATAAATAGTTGCTTCCAAAATGTAAATGTGAATGCTCATCAGCTGGTCGTTGATTCTCAGTCATTCAGACACCCATCACCCATATACCAACGCCCGCCATACCCATGGACCAGGCATACACTCAATCTCTGCAAGCGAAGTGGACTTCATGTAAGGATGCTGGCTCTATCGCAGCCACGGAGGCCCTTTCTACCACATAAGCCGCTCAAGAACAATCCCTGGGTTAGTAGTATCGCGGGTATCGTCATCCTCTTCTCCAGGAAGAAAAAAACAATTCATGCGAAAACAACCCCAAGTAAACACCCCCGACAGCCCCACTGTACGAGTTCCTCCGACCTGCTCGTTAATGGCAGCAAAACGAGTCCCTAGTGCCTGTGGCTCACTGATCGTTTCTTCGCCTCATCCATAGCGAATACTTTTTCAGCAGTGAAAAAACGAGGTATCGAGACAAAACTCGTGACAGAAAATAGCCTTCGAGTGGTCCAGTGCAAAGTTGCGATTTGGGAAACACGCTATTTGACGAACTATTCGCACAGGCGCAGCTACATCAGCGGTGAACTAAACGCGTTATGCTACGTTCATCTTTGGCGGTCGGCGTCTCCAAGCACCAGCAGCGTCCCCACCAGCGCGTCCCGGCCTCCGCCAGTGTCAGGCGTGTGCCACTAGGATGGATATCCATCTAGCGCCTGTCGGCGTCTACCAGCGACCAGCAGGGCCTTGAGGGCTAGTGAAGTAGAGTTATCAGTCTAGCGTCTGCCAGCGTCCACCAGCTTCTACCAGCGACTCAGCACGTCCGTGATGGAGAGTGTGCGTCGGTAGGAGTAGCAGCGAGCTGAGAGTATGGGGAGATAGAGGGTAGCGAGAGGTGTGATAGTACGCACGATACCTGGAGATACGCATACAAATGATTCTCCTCCTCCCCCCACACTCTCATACACAGAAGTTGGTGGTCGCTGGCTAACATAAGCTGGTGACCGCTGACAGAACGCTTGAGTGATACCCATACTGCTTAACTTTGCAGCTACTGCTGAGTCGCTGGTGGAACGCCAAAATCATTATCTGTCCTAAGTTCGCTGACGCTTCATCGTCGACACTCTAGGCGCTACTGGACTACTACTGGCGCTGGGGACAGGCCGCAATGTATATGAATGCAAGCCTATCCATGCGAGATGAATGCTGCGACTGTGTTTGCCCTAGTCGAAAGGCAATAAAGAGGGAAAGCATAATTACTTTAGAGCGAAGCACGTCACAAATTATACGGCAGTTCGGATTTGTGTCCGCGCATCCAACAAATAGGCCGATTGAGCCCTCCTGCTGACTTCAAAGAGGAGTTGTAATTGGGATGTCCAACTGAGCGGTGTGTCAATTTTTGCAAACAACGCTGCGTAGGCATCCTCTACTTTGCTGTAGGTAAAAAAGAGAATTCCCAGCCCGCCTGATTCGACCCACTTTGAAAAAGAAGACCGTTCTTCAGATTGTAAATGCGACTGTCTATTTAAGACTGCACGATTCTGAATGATCTACGGCTGTGAAAGGAACAGCCCCTAGGTCGAGACTGATGAAAGATAGGAAACCGTACAGAGGGGACCAGAGGTTCGTTATAGATTCCGACGGAGCAACTGCAGCACGAATCTCTTTTAATGATTTGATCAATCTTTAACATGTAACAAAATTTAGTTTAATTATTTATATTAATTTGTTCATGTGGACAGTTTATGTGATAAGTACGAGGATAGGCTATATTAGAAGGTTAGCGTGTGACTAAAGTGGTTGACGTTTTCTGGCACATTGCTAGCTATAGTGAAAACGTCCCTTGTAAACTCGGCCATAGATGTAATCGCTTATAGCCGTAAAGACTTGACTGAACAATGACGGTGGCTGTGGTTTAATCACTCCAGGCATCTGAAATTGAAGTGTCTAAGGCTGCTTTCGTACGACGCTTTACCGCTATCGTTGGACCGCTCAAATGCTGATTCGTCATGTTCAGCACAGAAACTATTCTGCTCTGTTTATGCTTTCTGCCTTCAATATCCTATCCTGCCAATTTGCTAAAACGCTCCCCTTCCGAATAGATTGCCGAAACTCTGCATCCTGGGCAGTTGACCCCCTAATCACGAATACCACATTTTGAAAGGGAGGTGTCTGACATCTCCACGAGCACCGACATGCACCTGGGAAACAGCTTTCTAACAAATTCGACGAATTCGGCTCGAAGTGTTTTTACCCGGCATCTGTGGCGCTAGAGAAGGATTTTCTCCAGCAGATTCAAAGTGGCTTTTGAGCTCAGGGACCATAACATTCCTTTTAGGCGCAATTTCTAGCTGAATCTTCCATTTGGAAAAGCGGGTGCAATTGAAGGGAACAATGCCAGTTTTCTTCGACAAGTAAGCGGCCCGAAGTTTAGCCATGAATCAGACATTGGAGCTTACATCGTGACCGAATCGTTCCGTGTCCACTGCCTTTAAGGTTTTCATGGATTGCGCACTTCCCATTTACTAGGCAATTTACCTCAGCTAGAATGGATTCTAGTTCGTGGAAATCCGGTCTTACATCTGGATCTGGATGCATACATCTCAGCCGTAATTTATTCATATCTTCTGGAATTTCGGACAGACATGTCGGCAGAGTGGCCTGAACAGCTCGGAATGGAACTACCCCTTCAAAGCTATAAAACCAATTACTCCTTTTATAGTACAAATGGAAAGGTCGTGTAATGGATGGCCTACCTTTTTCTCTTTATTAACACTCTTAACTCTTTGTTTTCGTACTTGTAGAACGGTAGCTGGCCAAATGAGAATATCTCCCAGATCATTATCGAGAAGCTATAGACGTCTGTTTTTGTGTTGTACACGCCTTTTTTCAGGGTTTCCGGTGATAGCCATCTGCAAGGGTTGCTTGTAAAAGATTACACGGTTGCTCGTAGAAAAATACACTAGAAAATTAAAGGTATGAGCGTAAGGACGGAGTTTTGCTCAGGGATAAATGGAGCAAAAAGGCGGTGGGAGCGGCAACGGTTGGGTATGCGGCAATTAACGGACCAGAGTTGGAGGAAGTAAGAGTGCACCTACGTTCTCTTGTGCAGTTTTTTTCTCTTATGCGGATATCTGCCTAGACCGGCACGACGGGTCCACCCTAGCGCTCAAAACTGAGTCCACGGGCAGTCCCCTATAATACCAAAATGTGTACTGTATGTACAGTCTTTATCACAGAAGACAGTTGGGGCGTGTCAGCGTGCACGGATATGTCGCGGCGGTAGCCCCTTTTCCAGCGATCATTGCCTGTATAATAAATAATTGGTGTCCAAGCAGCGTAGTGGTTAGCCTGGGGTCTCAGATTATCCCTGAAGCTTTGTGTCGAACGAGGGCGCATGTTGAGGAACCTGAAAGTACCTAAAGTCTTTATCACTGGAAACGTTTAGGGCCTGGGTCTTGGCGCAGCGCCAGCCCGTTTTTTAGCAATTGTTGCGGTTTCGGCAGTCTATTAGGTGGGGCAAAGGGAGCTGGCGCCGCACCAAGGCCTACCACCTGACCGAGTTACCTTGGTGATAATGATAATTGGCGACAAAACCGTTCTCTCCTTTACCCAGCTCGGTCTCGTTGAATACTTCACTGCCAATCGACAGTTTTGTCTGTAGACTCCCGAAGTTTACATTTGCATACACATCATTATCCTACGACCAGATGCGATTCCTTGAACCCTCCTTTTCTCCATACCAACCGAAACTTTCGTACTTTCCTGGATTAATAATTGGAGGAAAAGTTGGCCGTGGAGAACTGCGAAAGTGGCTTGATCAGGTATAACGACTCCCCTCTCGGATCAGAATGGTGAAATCAGGAATCGCGTCACAAAATGGAAGCAGGTGGAAGTTTGAAGAGCGGCGTAGAACGAGGTGGCATTCGGGGAGGAAGGATTCGATGAGCAGCGCCGCGCCATGCTGAGTGGGTTGAGTCGCCGTGCATAACCTCACCCCTCTCACAGGCGGGCGGCAGTGAAAGAAGGCCAAGACGGGGTTTCCTATCTCGCCGCGACTGGGAACTAACGGTACAGATTCACGGATTGAAAAGTCTAGGAGAGGTAGAGCCCTGTTGTGAAAACGGAGCCTTTCTCTGTGAGGAGCCTGGGGAATCCCCTAGACGCTGCTGTGTATCCTGCTGTCGTTCACCTGTACCTCCACATATTCAGTCATTCTGGAAGATCAAAGTGAGTGTAACGATAATTATGGACGAGTTTCACCTGAGTGGGACTTTAACCAACTTCTTTTCCTTCAATGTTTTCCCGATAAATGACAGACCAAAATCGGATATTTTTACTTCGTCTTTTTCGCCTAGAAGGCAGTTCCTCGCGGCTACATCGCTGAAAGTCAAGAAAACTTAGTTAACTTGGTCCCAAGTGAGAATTGGTTTGATCGCTAGTTTCACTCCTACCGATGAATGATTTCCTTGCTTTGTAAATATGCCATACCTCTTGCACCACCGTACACATAGTTCACTTTCGCGACCGTGCTAGGCTGAATGGCAGCATATCAAGGCTTTCTTCGCTTTCACGATTTTTTTTCGTTTCGAGTTTCGGTTTCGGGTCTCGAAATCTATGGGGGGAGTTCACAGAAGAGTGTACCTGTGAGGAAGGCGCTTTCTCGCCTTCCAAAGGAGAACTCTGGCAAGGCTCCCAGACATGTACACAGCTGGCTAAGTCTGGAGCGCGTTTAAAGTTTCGTAAAATACCAGCCACCCGCCCCCCCCCTTGTAGTCGTAACCGAACCCTTTTTTTATGTGACTGCTCACCTTTCTCATTTGTCCGGTATAGTCACGAGGGAGCAAGAGAAGAGTGGCATGCTCTCCTTTGTAACCGTTGGGATCGGTATTCGGCCCAAGCTCTTTCTCTCACTCCTCAGAGTATGTTCACCTCATCTTTAACACCTTACCTAATGCTTCTTTAGTAACTTCTCTTTACCGTCCCGATAGTTCCAGAACGACCTCTTTCCCCGTCCCCCGAATGAACTCCGGAAGTCGGAGCTGGAAAGAGCCTTTTACCAACTCGCGATGGAAAACCACCGAAGTGTGGTCCTCTCAAAATCTCACACTCATTCCTACAAGTGAAGACATGTCTCAGCAGATAGAATAAGACCCCCCTCCCTCTATAGCGATGTAGACACGGCTCCCCTGTTCCTTCTAGTTTTACATTGGAGCATGTTCCCATTAAACGCGGGGTGATTGTCAGCGCCTAGTGGGACACATAGATCCAGCTTCACCATCCTTGGGCTGCAAAATGCACGGCCCAAGGTCGCAAGTAAAGTGGGCAAACAGTTGATTCCTATCCTGCTACTTGAAGGTCCCCCTCTTCTTGTGATTCGTCTGCGACCAACTTACTGGTTTCTGAAAATTCTTCAGTTTAGAGAGCAGGATCCTCCAGCAGCCAGTTCCATCACTATCATGATCGGTTCTTTTGATGTGCAAACACCGTGCAAGCGAATCACGTTCTCCTGAAAACCAGAGAAACGACATTCTTCTACACCATCATGGCTGGCGGTGCCGCTTCAAATGACAAAAGGGCCGAAAAGGAGCCAAATAACTGACGTGTTTGAATCCTCTCATAATGTTTGCTTCTTGCAGGAATTGAATCCGATCGTCAGTAGTCATGTTTGTTGAGTGAAGGGTTTTTATAGCTACCGGGATTCGAGCACCCCATATGCCATCCTAAATATAGCACTTTCTCTAGATGCCAAGGTACAAATGTAGCATGCACTCTTCGTTCCTGGTGCCGGAGAAGAAGGCACTGTATACGCGTGAAACGTAAACTTTTTCGAAGGATTATTGGAACTCGACGGTTGGTCTCTATAGGAGTTACTTCCCCTCCTTGCATTTGCAACTTTTTGTTACTGTACACTTTGTTACTGTGCTGCCTCGCAAAAGCACAGTGTTTCGCCAGCCCTGTGCTTTTGCCAGGCAGCACCGTATTGTGAAACGCAGACGTAGAGGTAGTCGTACTTTTCAGCCGGAGAGAGGGTCGTATTCGGTCGTTGTTGGGAGAGGGGGAGGCGTACTGACACTCTTCACACATCGCGATGCTATACCCCCCCCCCCCCCTGACGCACGTAATCGCCATACTCAGAGCTCATCGTTATTGTCAGTCTCGAGCTTGATTAGTATATCAGCCTCGCGGCTGGGTCATACGGATAAGGTGAGCCAAGGATATCGTTGGCTTCGAGTGAATTTCCGCACGATCCCCTCCCCTCTCAGAACTGTTTTCCCAAATTTGCTAGCGATCGCAGTCCACAGGTGCTCATCGGAACCTTTGGCGCACAACCTTCTGCCGTCATTGGCCGATTCTCCCGTCCTCCCAAAACGCCAATAAGATCCCCTCTGATAATTTCTAATGACGGAATCACTGGGCTCCGAAGCTTTCAGCCCTGGACCACCTTCCTCGCGTCCTCTACCGTTTTCTGACCCGTCTACCTCGAATTTTTGTGAGCGATTCCCGGAAGGTGCTGAGGTAAACGTAAGACCAGAACAATAAACTATTCACTTCAGTCAGAAATTCCACATCCTATGTTGCGATATGACCGGAATTAGTTCCTATTTATCCAAATCACTGTGAAACTATCCTAGACAGGGCGCAGTTTGGCGACGGGAGGGGCATTTTGCACTTTCGTTGCTTCACTAGTTCCGGTTTACAAGTCTCACTCTGGTGAAACCTGTGAACTCTTGTGAAGCTGGAGCAAGCTCGTCAAGCCATCATGGTAAAACCTGTCAACTCGAGAAGAGGCTGTCTAGATAGGTCGACACGTCGATGGGAAGTAACAAAAGTGCAAAACGCTATGTTGCGATATGACCGGAATTAGTTCCTATTTATCCAAATCACTGTGAAACTATCCTAGACAGGGCGCAGTTTGGCGACGGGGAGGGGCATTTTGTACTTTTGTTGCTTCACTAGTTCCGGTTTACAAGTCTCACTCTGGTGAAACCTGTGAACTCTTGTGAAGCTGGAGCAAGGTCGTCAAGCCATCATGGTAAAACCTGTCAACTCGAGAAGAGGCTGTCTAGATAGGTCGACACGTCGATGGGAAGTAGCAAAAGTGCAAAGCCCCCCCCCCGTCGCAGAGTCCGCCCTAGGTCTAATCTATCTCTCTGTTCCGTTCTATCCCAAATGACGAAATTCACCTGCAACAATCCTTTGTACACTTCACCGAAGGCTCCCTCGCCTATCTTTACTTGCGGCTCTATCTGGAACACAACAGATTCCTTTCCGAATTGAATGACTTGAAGAGTCCTACCTGTTCGGGATTAAGCTGCCACACTTTCTTCTGACACGGTTTCTCTAGGAAGATTCCGTCGGCTGTCATTGGTGCTCTATTTCTCAGGTGATGCTGTATGAGATCGCTCACTGTTTTGAAAGCAAAATCATACACCCAGTAAAGGCGTTTCTGAAAAAAGGGTCGAAAAGGATGTTCATTCTTCAGAGGGGGTGGCACGGGTCGTACCTTAGATGTGCGCTTGACCAGAAAATGTTTCATTTCGCCGGAATCCATCAAGCTTATCACGATATGATGGCGGCCACCGACGTCCGTCTTCCTAACTGCAAAGGAGAAACTTTCAGAGACAAACTGTACGCTCACATTCGAGAGGTCATCCCTTGCCATTTGCAAGAAGAACGGCTTGGTAACTGCTGAAGCATAGAAGCATGGCACTTTCGATCAGGGCAAGCAGACGATCCCAGCGAGGGGTCGTTTTTGGTAGCTTGAGGGGTGGGGAGGGAGACCGTACTTCAGGAGAGATGACCTCGGATGTTAATTCTTCAAGCTTTTTTTTCATTACGCATGCTGATGAAAACTGTGAATTCGGGAAGAAACCCCTGACGAAGAAGTTGAAAATTGGGAGTATTCACGGAGATCGCAGGTAGGATGGGAAATGGAGGGGTATTCTGCGAACGAACATCTTCAACGGCTTAATTCGTCCCGCTCTTGGCATTCAAGAGCGGGCTTGATGAGGCTCAGGACTGTGACTAGCCTGATGCTGTATGTTTCTTCACCCAATTGCCGCTGCGTTACATACGCAACCGAGACGGAGAACTGCGCGAACGTGACAGGGCGCAGAGAAGAGGTGTGTGTGGCTATGGTTCGGCGTCTGGCTGTCCGTACGGCATGTTACATGAATGAGTGCCTTGCCTACGGGCGGCGACACAAGATGGCGCTGGTTTCTCTATCCTTTAGCTTCATTTCCGCTCACTGTTGAGTGGCGAAAGTGTCACTCTTCCGCAGCAGCCAACCCGTTCTTCTCACACGACAAAGGTCGGAATACTCAGACAAGGATCGTACAGTCTGTCTTCAACGGCAGTGAGCACGATAGTTAAGGGCAGGCTGTTACTGCCAACATCATTGGTGCAAGGACGGAGTGGGGTGTGGCCAAAGGTGGCTTCGCAGCCGTCCCACCAATGACGTTAGCAGCAGCCGCCCGTCCCAGCCATAGTGCCCACTGCCTCTGAAATCATGGAAGATGAGCGCTTTCTGTATTTCTAGGTCCACAACACGGACTTTTCTATTATTCTCGTTCAGCTCTTCTCTTCCTGCGATAGCTTGTACTCTCTCACTACCGTCTACCTCAGGTATTCCATTCAATTATTCATTCAGTTCATCTTACCGAGGAACTCTCCATCTCTCTTGGGAATTTTCTCAGCCTCAGTTCGTGTCATGAATCCATGATAGTATGGCTCGTCTTCAATAACCTTGACGGTTCTTCCGGCTTCATCACAATTCACCTGCATGCATTGATAAATATCAATGAGAGACATTTTGAAGGAACTTCAAGTACCTGTACAAGCCTTGAGGTACTAGTGCTCCGCGATGGGCGACCTCTGGGTTTCCCCTCTTCGTCCTGAACGATTTCTGAGTCTTTCATACGAGAGTTTTACACGATGTTGCCTAATGATTGATAGTCACAGACCTCGCCAGGAGATATGTCCTTTGGATAGACAGGAATACTATCAGGATATCGCTGCTTTAACTCTTCAGCTACTTCTTCTGGAAAGAGTTCACAATTGTTACGGTTTATATCTGAGGGCAGCGAGAGGCGTGGCCGCAAGAGCCGCGAGGATTTAGGCGGAACAGGTTCTGAGACTCACGTCTAAAAGGAGAGTCGGCATAGAGAATGCGACACCCACGCCCCTTTTTGGCCCTCCGATATGGGTGATGCATGGAAGATAACTCGAGCGAGAGCAGAGGCCATAATGAGCTTGAAGGCAGGTGCACCATTGCTGGAGGCTAGCCGTTTTGACACGGTCATTTGGGAAAGGGGTGAAGGAGAGCGCTCGGCCAAAGTTCCTACCTTCTGTGGGAGTATGTCCAAGGGCCCTGTCGCACTCTCCCACCAATGACACTGGCAATAACGGCCCGCCTCCAGCAATCGTACATACGGCCTCTATGCTCTTTGCTGCAATTCCCACAGCAGGAAGCCCTCAGAAAAAGAGCTTCAGGACGCTATGTGAAGCTGGCATCGCGTAGATTTACGCCTAATAAATCCAAGGTTTTTGTGGTTGCCAGAAGTACATCGATCCTCTCACCTAATCAATGTACTCTAATGAGGACTGAGCCAGAGATCTTCACGGTACTCCGGCACACTTCTCCTAGGGTATCCGTCGCCAGCTGCACGTTCAGGCGGCGCTAGCAGAAGCGCAGAATATAAACTCTAGTTCGCTGCGGACGGTTGGGCGTGTCAGGCAGTATGAGTGTGTCACCCGTCAAAGCCGTTCTCTGCCTTCTTGTTGAAGCGCGCATGCGACAAAAAGTGGTAGAAAACGAGTAATGATACAGTCATATCATTTGCTCGCTTTAACAACTGGTGGAGAACGGGTTTGGCACCGCGCCAAACTCATCCCGCCTGACACGCCCAACCGTCCGCAGCGAACTACACTATACCTTATCTAGTTGACTTGACCCTGTCATATTGGACCAGTTCACTTCTGAAGCGAACGACACCCACGTACACTCCATTACCGAAGATGAGGAGGGCGCGTTGCGTACTTTTCTCGAGCACACCGTAGGATGCGCTTGTGGGATATTTCCTATGTAAAGTAATTGTCATCTTGTCTCGTGCCTGTCCAACACATGCTTATATTTGCCCAAACGGCAACGTCACCCTTCAACCCGTCGCCCAGAAGAGCGCAACAGTCGCCACGTCCCAATGACGTACGCAGCCACGCATAGTCCACTGTCAAGATATGCAGCGTCGGCCCGAATTCGACGCTTACTTCTTTGCCGTTGTCTACAACTAGTTACACTGCCAATGTCGCAGGACTTCGTTTGGTTGAACAACGCCTTCTTCGAAGACAAGTCACTCAGGCCCTCAAGGAGATTTTTATTCATTTTTCAATTTCGAAACGGTTTTCACGCCCTGGGACTCTCTGAAATGCAAGCCTACTTCTAGCTCGACGAGCACGCCGTCTCCATTGTCCTTTCGCTTGGCGCGCATGTGCTAGCCTCCAGGGCACTGTAAGATTGGTGGTATCCTGCTCTATAATGGGAGTGTTATCAATCTCACCACACAACAGATTGCCACCCACCAGGAGGCGTACCATTTCGCCCCCCGGTTCTTCATTTCCACTAGCATATCACACACCGCCAGGCCGACCGACCCGTACACGGGAGGTGGGCAAAAGAATCGTGATTTGCCGCACCGCCGCAGCGGTCACTAGCGCGGTGCTTCCTTAACTAGTGTTCAACCTGTCGATTAGAGCACCGGACTTCATGTAGACCCCGTCATCATAGACATTCATGACTATTTCGGTCTGAATTGCCTGTTGTCGCCATCTTCTACGCGAAACCATCGTCGTTTGTGGACGCCGTTCCACGCGACGCCCACCAACGAGGTGAATTACAATTCTCTCGTCACATACCCCCATACAAAAATATATGATTTACACCCTAGTTCGCTGCGGACGGTTGGGCGTGTCAGGCAGTATGAGTGTGTCACCCTGTCAAAGCCGTTCTCTGCCTTCTTGTTGAAGCGCGCATGCGACAGCCACTGGTAGAAACCGAGTAACACGAGTCAGTCTAGCAGTCTCATCACTAGCCAACTGGTGGAGAGCGGGTTTGGCCCCGCGCCAAACTCATCCCGATCAACACGCCCAACAGTCCGCAGCGAACTAGTCTATATGTTACCAGTCGGATCGCACGGCTCACGCCGTGCTCTCCTCCTTCTCTTGAGCTCGGCTTCGCCGAGCTGGCCTGGCTTCGCCAGGCGGCTCCATAATTTTAACGGAATTTTTTCGGTAGTGCGCTGCTCATAAGGCGCTGTAGTGATCGAATCGTAACAGACAGAGCAAGGCTTAGGATCCCGCACAACTCAGCACGCGCTTCTATTTACAGCAGCGGTGTAGTCCGCGCCATGACGCCCATAGAATACATAAATCTGTAGATAGATACAATGTGTAGTCGGCCAATACAGCGCAATATGAATCGTTCAGTGAAATAGCAGATTTCGTTTTCATTACCTGCACCGGAACACCGGAATGCCCACCGACGAACGCTTTCCTTTCATTTAGCATGCGATCCGCTCGTTGAAGTGTTTTTCGGTTCTCCTCGAATTTCCCCGAGATTCCTGTTTCAGGCGAAGTACATATTCCCCCCCCCCTATATAGTAGGATAGTAGGATTAGTTCATTTTCTAAGGCTATCAGGGAAGTGATGGCTGAAGGAAAAGTATGCACACTGAGCTTTGGTACCTGGGGTATAGTGATGAAGAGAGTAATATGAGCCGCTTATCGTTTTTCTTAATCGATTGTAAGATCCTGTCCATTCAATGTCCCTATGCATTGAAACCCTATAAAGTTGTCGTGTAAAATGGCTCAGGCAATTGTTTGACTGAACAGCATTGGCAACGCTCCTTATCAGCCCCTATCAGCTGTTATCACCTCATGTGCCGTGTCCCCATCCCCCACTCTATATCATTTTCAGAAATTAATGCCTAGCTGATGCTGTGTTCCGCGTTGTGAGTATGGTGACCTTACCGTTCTAACTCATCTTATCAAAATCTTATCAGCTGCTATCATTCCCTGTTACCCATCAATAATGTTCCCTTCGCCCGTCCCTATATCCCTACTTGGAAGCAAGTGTCACTCACTGTTACTGTGTCCCGCACTATGGGCTCGGTCACCCTCCCCTTCTGACGCCTCTTGACGGATCTTATCAGCTGCTATCATTCCCTGTCACCCATCAATAATGTTCCTGTCCCACGTCCTATATCATACCTTGGAACCAATGTCCCACTGTTACTGTGTCCCGCACTATGGGCTCGGTCACCCTCCCTTCTAAGGCCCCTTATCGAATCTTATCAGGTGGCTATTCCAATTCCTTACACCACACCAAAAGTGTTCCTGTCCTGCACGTCTATATCATACCTTGGAACCAATGTCCCACTGTTACTGTGTCCCGCACTATGGGCTCGGTCACCCTCCCCTTCTAAGGCCCCTTATCGAATCTTATCAGGTGCTATCACATTCTATCACCAACCAAAAGTGTTCCTGCCACGTATATCACTTCTTGGAACTGTCGTCCTATCTCTTCTGCGACGCGTGCTATGAATTTCGTGACAGACAGACGGACGCACACACACACACACAACACACACACACACACACACACACGACAGACATACTTAGTGAATTATATATAGTAGGATATTTATGTGATAGAGTGCCATTATCATGCATGAACGTTTTCATGGGAAACGCTCCGCAGATCGGTTGTGGTGACTGAATTCTTTCCGCTGCAACTGCCTTTTGGGTAATCTAGAGAGCAACTGTTGGAAGCGTACAGAGCACTATGGAATGTTATGCTGTGGGGACTGGTAGCTGACGCCGGTTGTCCGAAGGAGATACATATCCACACGACTGAAGTCAACGATAAAGAAGCAAAATATTGGCCGTTTGCTAGAAGGTTGGTGTTTCTACAAGGTGTTGATATGCACTTATTGACCTGTGATGAAATTTTCATAGCAGGCAAGTATGTCCACGGTATTGGGGGCTATTGGAATACCAAAAGGGGTACAATTCGCCCCAATGGAAGCCACTCTCTAGTGAGGCTTGTCCACCTCATGCTATCCCAGTGCGGCTGCGTTCATAATTGGCGGCGACTCGGCGTATCGAGCGTACCAGCGTTTCGAGCAAAAAGAATAACAGAGATGGTGATCGGTGCCGGGCACCTTTTCGGCGGAATGGTCGTTTCGGAACAATCAGGGTCTCGAGCGCGTATCACTGAAGTCGCGCGCGACATGGTCTCGCAGAGCAGACATGTCGCAGCTTCGCGTCCCGCTAAACTCCGTTTGCGCCCAGAAAACCCTCGAAGGAGCTTTGAGTGAGGTAATAAGCCCTCTTCAGCCCTTTGTCGCGAAGCTCTCAAAAATGGAAAAGGGATACTATCCCAGGAAAGGTAGTAATTTTCGATATTCCGTGTTCAGCGGCATTCACGCCAGCCCTTCTTAGCGGGTGCCACTTCAGGTGTCGCATGGGAGAACTTTGACAATAAGGAATGAACTTACCTTTCGTCTTTTTCCTCGGTTGTGGTATTTCCGTTTCTCCATCGAAGGCACCTTCTAGAAACAAAACAATCTCGTGCTAACTTCTGATCAGCGCGAGGACTAATTAGACCAACCCTGCGGCATGAGACACTAGTACACAAAGTGAACCTCACTCGAGAAGCGATAAGCGTATAACTGCAGTTATCATGAAAGTCTGATCCATTTATTTGCTGTTGCTAAATGACCTTGCAAAAGGAGGAAAAATGCGAAAAATCACGTC